ATAAATATATATATATATATATATATATATATATCAGTAAGTTAGTGTACTGCCAGAGTAGGGAGGGGGACTGGGGTGGAGTTGGGGTGGGGGGTTTAGGGGGAGGGTTAGGGGGGGTAGGAACCGCCGTTTTTACAAATGGAGCACCGTAGGTACCTCAAACGAACTGGTGTAAGCAACTAGTATATAAGTAACTGGTGTCATGTTACAAATGGAGCACCGTAGGTACCTCCATTCTTGTATCTATGCTGCAAAAGGACCAAAAAGAACATTAAAAATGAAGACCACCAAAAATAAGGTCTAAAGAAACCATTGACTATTCATTTTTGGCTGTTGACAAAATGTGTACTTTTGCGATGACGGAAAGATTCATTTATTTATTCTTTGTTTATAAGGATCACTTCACACACATCTCATTTTCTCTAATTTCAAAAAAAAACAATTGAACCTCATCCATTTGAAGATCTTTTAAGACTATCCTAAATAATAAATTATGAGATAAATTTTAGACCTGTCAAAATTTGACTCGGTCTGTTATTGATCTGAAACTTGACCTGAAATGAGGGGGTTTTGAATATCGATTTTGTGACCCAAATCCGACGGGTTATGCACTTAATTGCTTATTTTTATTAATTATTTAGTTTTATATATTTATTTAAAATATGATATACTCATTAAACTACTCAAAATTCAAAAGGTGTAAAATCTAATCCAAATTCATGAACATTCTAGCTAGTCCCCTCTCAAATTACCAACTTTGTTGGATAAAGAGACATTACACCATATTTAATGCACATATTTAAAAAAGAATATAGATCACATTGGACTGATTCTCCACAGCCCACAGGCTCCGGAGCGAAGTTTAATTCATCTTTAACTTTCTCTATAATGTTCACATTTGTAATTTGTACACCTCCAAATTCAGGAGTTTAGATACAAAAGAAAATCAATCTTTTTTCAATTTATTTTACTCTTTAGGGATTTATCGCCCATGTAAAATTAGGTCCCGTTTGGTACACGGAATTCAAATTATGGAATTGGAATTGATGACTTCAATTCCAATTCTGGTGTTTGGTAGCACAAAAATTATGTGGATTTGGAATTGGTAATGCAAAAAATGAGTTGGAATTGATGAATTCAATTCTATGGAATTGGATCCCATAGAATTTTAATTCTAATTCCATCAATTCCGTATACCAAACGGACCCTTAGTGAATTTGTTTTTTATACTTCTAAATTTTTTTTGTAATGACTTTATTCATGTTACTTTTTTCTCAAATGGTTCTCACGGAAGAGTTATACTCCCTCTGTCCCAAAAAAAATTTTCTACTTTGATTAACGTGCAAAATCCCATAGATTTTAAAATGATTTTATTTACAAATTGGTAAAGAATTAATACATAAAAATATATATTTAAAAACTACATTGAAAACTCTACAAAATAAGAGGTGACAAGAATACTTTATTTTATCAAATGATCAATGAAAACATGCAAACAAATAAAAGTTATCGAGAGGTCGTAATAGTAAACAGGAAAGACTTTTTGGGACGGATGGAGTATATGATTTGGACCTTGTAAAATTAACGAGTCTTGTTATTTTTAAAACATTAGATTTCATGGTAAAATATACTCGCTATGATTTTGAAAAATTCTTACATTAGTAGGTCAGTTAGGTTGTGTTTGGGTTCGGTTGGGTTTGTCCCATTTTTAGGGGTCATGTTGGGTTCGGTCAACAAAATTTTTGTTCAAAACCCGCCAGTGTTTTCCAGTCGAGTTTCAGGTCAAAAATAGATTGAGTCATTTTTTGTCAGGTCTAATCTTTTTAGTGTATCAATCACACGATTAAACTTTATTCATTTTGTTTTACAGAGTATTATTTTAACAACTCTTTTTATAATATAAGTATATTAATGTTACCTCATCTTTTGTAAAAATTGTAATGTACTAGCTGTAATTTTTAAATAATCTATTATATAAATTTCATTTTTAAATTTTAGATCTAAGAGTAAATTGAATTTAGAATAAAATCAATTCAAGACGTAAACCGAGTTTTTTGTTTTACCCATTGATTAGAGGTGCTGACAAAACTGTTTCCAAGGAGGGTCATCAGAATGTGGGACTAGGTGTCCCTCATACAGTATACCCTACGCCTGAAGGTCCCAACACTATTAAGGATGGGAGGGCCCAAAATCCGTATGCATGTCTCGCATGGCACCCACCCCTCCCTTGCCCTTCATCTGCTATTCGGACCTTGGATAATGACTACTCATTACTCTATGTCTCACATTTCTATTCTCCCTCCGCCTCCAATTTAATTATAAATTAAAGTATACGAGAAAAAATATTTTATTTTTTGAAATTATTTTATTTACAAACCAATATATTGATAAAAAATAAAAATTAAATATTAAAAAACTACGTCAAAAGTTCTACAAAACAAGAAGCTAGGTGACGGGAAGAGAAACAGAAAAAGTTTGTAATCAAATTGGGAACGAAGGGAGTATGTGTGTTGTTTGCAAATAAGGTTTTTAATTAGCATGAAGTTCTAATGCTTTGGATATTTTCCTTTTCAAGCAGTTGCACAAAATTAAATGTTTCTTAAATCTCTTTTTTTTAGAATTGAAAGTTTTCTGGAATAGAAAAAATATGTAATTTTAAAATCAATCGTTTTGTTTTGAAAATGGGTGCAACGCCCATAGGCGTTAAGCCTTATTTAACGCACGGGGGGGATTAAACATTGCCCCCTCCACCGTCATCAGGGCGTCAAACACCCTGCGTTAAAGGGTTAATGCAGCGCCACTGCAAGAAATTCGTTGCCCCCTCCTCTCTTCAACGGTCAAAATTATTGCCATTGTGCATTTAAAAAATTATTTTTTCAACTATAAATACTCCTTATTTGAAAAAATACGCGCACAACATATTCTCATTCTCTCTATAATCTATCCAAAATATATTCTATTTATTTCCATCATCTATCCAAAATATCTAAAAAATGAGATTATCCAAAATATTTCTAAAAATAAGTTAAAGCTGACGTAACAGAGAGAAATTTTGCTAGCCTCCACACTTCACGAGTATTTTCAAAGCGTAATGTGAACTAGAGGGGATAGAGTAGGGATAGAATGGGGATAGTAAAAAATCTTTTTTCCATTATTTCCGGCAACAAATAAAGTCCATGTCTTGGACTTTTAAAATGCCCTTGTCCCCCCCACTTCTTTTTATCTCCACCATCACCCTGCCCTGGATTAACTTTAACAAACTTCTCTATCTTCTTCCCAGACTTTGTCCCCCTTTGAAACAGAGCACCCCTCCCTCTTCCCTTGAATTCCATTCTCGGAAAATGAAAACAATCATGGATCGAAATCCCAACGATTCTCTCTCCATCTCCAGCAGACACTTCAACTGGAGGGACAAACCCGAAGACTACGACGAAGAAACCAGGCTGCCCGAGCTCGATTTGGCCGTCCCCAAACGGAAGCCTCCCCGGACGGCGGTGGCCAGGCTCCGCTCCGTCTTGAGCTTCGGAACCAAGAAGCGGGCCGGCGGGGGAAATCTGGGTACCCGGGTCGTCGGGACTCTGTTCGGGTACCGGCGCGGGCACGTCCTGTTCTCGTTCCAGGACGACCCGAAGCTCTGCCCGGCGTTCTTGGTGGAGATGGCGATGCACACGAGCGTTCTGGTCCGGGAAATGGCGTCCGGCGCGGTCCGGGTCGCGCTGGAGTGCGACAAGGGGACCGGGAAGAAACCGGGCCGGATTCTGGAGGAACCGGTTTGGAGGACGTACTGCAACGGCCGGAGGTACGGGTTCGCCGTGAAGAGGGAATGCGGGCCGGACGAGTGGAAGGTTCTGAATTCGATCGGGCCGGTTTCGATGGGCGCCGGCGTGTTGCCGGCGAAGGAAAGCGACGGCGGCATGCCGGCCGGCGAGATGACGTACATGCGGGCCATGTTCGAGAGGGTGGTGGGGTCCAAAGACTCGGAAGCTTTCTACATGATGAACCCAGACGGCCATGGAGGTCCGGAGTTTAGTCTCTATTTACTGAGGGTTTAGCTCAATTTAATTACGTACAATTTATTTGTGTTATTAAATTCTTTGTTAAATCCTAAATTAGCAATTAATGGACACCAAATGCCATTTTGGAGACGTTTTTATCTCTTATTTAATA